GTCCTCTCACAGCTTCCTTTTCTTTTTCACATGCTGATTTCTTAATATCTGTGCGCCAAGCGCAGTGCTATTATTGGGACCGTGACAACACCTCTAACGGTTTTTTGGAAATGTAGGTGTGCGCGCAAGTGTGCCTGCACCTCTGGTCCTTCCAGCTGTGACCTCCTGTTGATGTGGGAGGTCTGGTCCGAGCAAACTGAACCAGCTGGTAGTTGGCACCCATTTCTTTCTACCTTTTCAAATGGATTTCTAGTATTCTCTTTCAAACATGCTAGGAAGAGACAGAAGAGAAGCCCCCCAGCCCTCCCCCCACCCCTTGGCTGCTGAGTCCAGAATTCACCCTGGGGCAGCGCTTGGTGGCCCTGGCTCTCAGTCCTGGCTTGGCGCGTAATCCTTCCTGGTTGTGTAACCAGGACGCAGCCCTCGATCTTTCTGAACCTCTGATTCTTCATCTGTGAAATGAAGGAATAATATTTACTTTGCAGGGTTGCGGGGATTAACAGTGCACACAAAAGCTCTTGCATAATGGCTGTGACGTTGTAGACATCTAGTATGTGGTAGTTATTCAGTGGTTATTTTTTTTTAAATTTTTTTAATGCATATTTTCTTTTTTTTCTTTTTTCCCCAAATGTACTGCTGATAATGCCACGATCAGTGGTTATTTTTACTATTATCTGCAGAAGTGCAGGCAAGGCGGAGTGGTTTTGGTACCTTCTGCAGTCGTGTCCTCTGCCCGCTGCCCCAGGGCTTATCCCAGATCCCATTTCCTGCCTGTCGGGTGGGCTGTTGCAGGGACATTGATGTTGACATATGGGTCTTCTGGAGTCCAAACATGTGACCAGAAACAGGGAGTTCTCATTTTTTGCCCCTCATGGAGACTGGTGCAGTTTACTCATCATGCACTTGGCTCGTGTTTAGTGAGGACCGTCTAGGTCCCAGCACTACGGTGGTGCTAGACAAGATGGACACGGTCCCTGCCGTCATAAAGCTTAAAGCAGGCAGATGGGCAATTAACAACACCGAAAATAAAGTTATTATAATTGGTAGGAATAAAATGATGACTTTTAAAAAGGAGCTGAAATTTTAAAATTATGAGGTGGGAGGGGTGGACGTAGATGGGGTGGACTGGAAAGTGTGCTTTGATGAGGGGACACTTCTGTGAAAGGGAAGACAGGGAAGAGCTGCCAGGCACAGAGGGAAAGGAAGGGGGGCGGTGCTTGCAGAATGGCAGAGGCAGCCCTGGAGCTGAGATCAAGAGAGGACAGACAGGGGCTGTTGGGGTCTTGTTTTTCCCACCTCTGCACGCACAGACCTCCACCGCCCAGAACTGCGCCAACAAGAGCGGTGAGCCCTCAGCGATACTGGCCACCAGGCTGCCAGACTCCAGGGGGGCTCCTCCACCAACTTCATGCTTCAAGCAAGTCCCTCGCCTCTGAGCCTCAGTTTCCCCACTGAAAAACCATCAATATTATTTTCCCAAGGAGCTTTCAGCTTTCATTGGGCCACTGCATGGATGCCTTAAAAGAGGAGCCACAGGCTGGGCGCAGTGGCTCACACCTGTAATCCTAGCACTCTGGGAGGCCGAGGTGTGAGGATAGCTTAAGGTTGGGAGTTCGAAACCAGCCTGAGCAAGAGCGAGACCCTGTCTCTACTAAAAATAGAAAGAAATTAGTTGGCCAACTAAAAATATACATAAAGAAAAAAATTAGCTGGGCATGGTGGCGCATGCCTGTTGTTACAGCTACTCGGAAGGATTGCTGAGGCAGAAGGATTGCTTGAGCCCAGGAGTTTGAGGTTGCTGTGAGCTAGGCTGACGCCATGGCACTCACTCTAGCTTGGGCAACAAAGCGAGATAAAAAAAAAAAAAAAAAAAAAGAGGCACCACCATTCTTCTATACCTTTTCCCTTCTACCTGGGCCAGGTGAGAGGTGGGAGACCTGCACCTCCATGTCAGTAGATGACCCTTAATAAAGCTTCGATTCCTTACAAAAAGGGGGCCTTGCAGGGTTTTTGGGAAACCCCTGCCAGGAGAACTCAGGATCACCCTCCTCTTTCTAGCAACAAGTGGGGCACCTGGGCAGTGGGGGAGGGCAGCCCCGGGGGAGCAGGTGTGGGTGAGAGCTGCCTCCCCTCTCTTGTCCACCCCCCACCAGCTTTGTCCCTGTGCCCATTATGGCTTTATTACTGTTTTCAGTCAGATATAATTCCAGCATTTTCTATAATCTTGATCTTTTCATTGATACGAGATTTTTATACAAAGATTTGTATATAAAATGATTATGTACCCACCAGAATACATTCCCCGGCAATTAGAACATTTAAGATGCAGCTCCTAACACTCCTTCCCGTACATCCCTCATTTATTACTTTCCAAAGTGTTTTGTGGTTTTTTGGGGATGTGTTTACAAATCCAATAACAATTCTCATTTAGAGTTGCAAAACACGAAGCCATTTTGAACCGAGACAGATGGCAGCTAAATGAAGTTTAATTAAAGAATGAGTGCTTTGAATCAAATCACTTTTTAAAAAGTACAGTACACAGAGATTTCTGGAGAGGTTGCATAAACAGCATCTGGGCGCTTCTGCGAGGAAACACTCGGTAAGGCTTTCCTGGCTCGACGGGGGATGGGGACACACGGTGGGCATGTCCTGTGGCCTCTGACTTGTGTCCTGCACTCAGACACACCTCCCAAAGCCCGGGCTCCGGGGACAGGGGTCTGGGATGACACAAGGCAACTTCTCAGTTCAAAGGCTTTGGCTTGGGGGTGGGGAGTGTCCCCTCTTCTGCTCCTATGAAATGAGGTCCCACAGGCGCCAGGGCTCGCCACGCTGGCCTTCTATGGCCGGCCACCTGCGCCCTGGGCCTGCAAGGGAACAGATGGGGCGTCCTGCTGGGGTCGGGTGGGAGCCATTTCCGGCTCTGGCCACGGATCTTAGCACCTGGGGCAGCGGGGTGAGTGCAGACAACCAATCATCCGACCAACTGACAGGTACCAGTGGGCGGAGGGGACTCCCCAAGGCAGGCCCGCTGGGGACTGGGGAACAGGACAGGCTGGGAGGGGCCGAGATGGATGGGGGGATGGGTTACAGGAGATGGGGCTGGCCTGCTGCAGACCGTCTTGTCTCCAATTTGATTTCACAGGTCGTTTCTGCACCCAGGGCAGCCAGTGGAGGGGCCATCCCTGCCTTGATCCTGGAGAGGAAGAGGAGGGCCTGGCCCAGGGCAGGATGGCGTGGAGGGCCTGCTGGCTCCGGGACGGGATGTGGGCGGGAGGAGGGCCCTGCTGGCTGCTGCCTGGGCAGGGTGGCGCCTGCAGAGAGAGGAACAGTTTGGGGGTATGCCAGGCTTGCGGTTTCTGGCATCTCGCCAGGAGGAAGCGCAGCCCGGAAGGCTGGGACAGTCCCTTTCCTCCCAGCTCTGGGCACGGGGCTGACCTTGGGCGCTGGCAGCGGACCCTGGACTGTTCTGATCATGTACTCACTGACTCAGAACTCAGTTCCTCCAAGCCACAGGCCTCATTTCTGGACCCCCGCTGGGCCATTAGGACCAGACCCGGGGGCTATCCTGACCCCTCCACCAGCCAGCACCCTGCATGCTTGCTGACCTTGTCACTCTCTGCACCTGGCCAGACCACTGCCACCTCTTGCTGGAACTACAAGGGCCTCCCAGGCTACTCCTCTTCTGACCCTTTGCAGGCAGGGTCACCTTCGGAAGGTGCAGATCCGGGCCTGGCTCTCCCCTGGGTACCCCGGGTGTGACTCTCATTTTCCTTCTGGAAATCGCCATGGCCTGGCCTTTGAGGCCTTCCACGTGGGACAGTGAGAAAGGATGCAGCCCGCCCCAGAATGCATGGCTGGGCAAGCAGAAGCCAGGCGGAATGTCTGCCCCGTTCACCTGCCTGCCACCACGTGCAGGCACAACCTGCTGACCGTCCTCAGAGGCGCTGACGGAGGCCCCCATCGAGTCCCCATCTGTCCCTCCACGTCGCCTCCAGCCACTCTCCCTCCACTCTGGCAACTCCTTCTCATTCCTGGGATGCGCAGGTCCTCAGTCCAGGCCCCGCCTTTGCCCTAGAACGCTGTCCCACCCCGCCCGCCCCCTGCACCACCAACGCCTGACTGCTCTTCTGCTCTTCACGGACTCTCCCTGATTTCTGCACCAGGTGAGGTCCCCCTGCTTTGTGCTCCAGGGCACCTGCCTCCCCCATCAGGACATTCTGCCGACACAACCAGCACCGAGAGGGCGGGGCTCAGTCAATGCGAGGGGAGTGGATGTGCAGCCACTGCGTGCCAGGCCCTGGACTGCCCGGCTCTCGCGACTTGCCTTTCTGCCTCCAGTCTTGTCCCTTCATCCAACTTCCCACTTGCCATCGGAGTGGTCTGAGACACAGCTGGGCCCCGGAACTCTGCTGCCCAAATACCCAGAGCTCTCTGGAAAATCCTGCCCCCTTCTCGAGGCTCCCCCAGCCCCCTCTCCAAGACGCTTTCCATCCAGCCATGGGGATGCCCCGGGCTGGGCCGCTCTCTGATGACCATCCTTAATACTCTGGACTGCACCGGAGTTAATGGGGTCAATCAGTGTCCCCCACCACACTGCGTGCTCCCTAGGCTGTTCCCGCCTGCCCTGGCCCAGCCCCAGGCAGAAGGGATGAGGGGCTGTCCCTCCACACACAGGTCCAGCTCACAGGCTGCAGGGAGGGGAGGTGGCTGCGTGTAGCTGGCACATGACAGACTGTGGTCTAGCCGCTGTCTGGCAGCGGGAGGCGTGTCTGTCTGTGGCATTTCTGTAGCTTCTCGTCTAGAGGTCACATGTCCCCAGCAGCAAAAAATAAGTGAGGTCTCTTAGGGACACCACCTCTGCCATGGCAAGGGAGGAGGGTGGCCTGGCAGGCCACCTGAGCTGGGTTTCCCGACTCCAGCCCCAGTGACAGCTGTGGCCGCAATCCCAAAAGAGAACATGCAACATTTAAGAGCAAACGCAACGCTTTTTTTTTTTTTTTTTTTTTTACTTATTTAAAAAGGCCTTGGTGGCAGGAATATAGTGTAAAAATCATTGGAAAAACTAAAAGGCATCGATACATATCCGAATATACACTTTGTACATAAATTACATTTCCTTTAGTCTTTCTGAGTGAGGTCCTGATTCAGTACTGAGGTCTAGTAATTAAGAGGTCCCGGGAGCTGCACGTTCAGGCCGGCATAGTCCACCATGTACATTGGCCATTGCTAGAGAGAGGGACAAACGTACCGGGTTAGGACTCCAGGTGACGCGGAAAGAACACCAGAACACTTAACTCTGCTTTTGGAAGGGCTTCCTCAGATGCTATTTATTTTGAGGCCGCTGAGGCCCAGAGAGGGGTGTGACCTGTCCCGGGGTTCAGCAGTGGCCACCGAGCCTGGGCTGGAGCCCTCTCACTGTCCCATCTGTGTCCCAGGGTCTGGTCACATGGCACAGGCCTGGGGGCCAGAGGGTGGCCTGGCTCAGCACAGGTGTTGGCCCTGTGAGCGCAGCCTCGCTCCCGAGGAGCTGCCTGCCTCTCTGGGGCCTGGAGGAGCGAGGGACCCTTGGCGGGCACGCAGACACCTCGGCGGGGACCAAGGCAAAGCCCACACCTTCAGGTTCTCCAGGATGGGGTTGAAGGGAGATACAGTCAGAGGATAAAGAAATCCCCAAATTATTTTCAAATGTGTTCAAATATGCTCCCCATTTGCACTCAGGATTTCAAAGCTAATAGTTTGAAATCAGAAAGAACTTTCCAGTGTGTGCCCTTAATGAGGTTTTCCTCCCGGGTGGGAGAGAACTAACCCAGCACCACGGCAGGACAGACAGAGCTCTGGAGGCGAGTTCTCCATGCCACACGGAGCCGCCGGGGCCATGGCTGAGTCCAGCCACCCTCTGACTCCCGTTTTCCTCACCTACACACTCTGGGTGACACCCACACCCCACAGGGGGGTGGCAGGCTGGGAGTCCTGCTGAGGGGCGGGGGCAGGTCCCATCCCTCTCCTGGGCCTCGGCTGGCCCGGCTGCCCAGCGGGGGCGTGAGCTCCTGCCCAGGCGCCCGTGAACGCCCAGCGAGAGGGACGGGCTGTCTCCTGGGTGCGACAGGCAGACGCGTCTGCATCCCGAGGCTGGAAGGCCCCACTCAGAGCCCGGTGCCTCCCCGTACCCCGAACCCACATCCTGGAGTAGACGGCCTTGCCCGAGTGAGGGGCGAGGGCCAAAGAGAAGAGTGGTCGAGTCCAGATCTGTGCAACTTTACCACGAGCGAAATCTGGTTGGTGGATGCCACAGACTCTGGGTTAGAGGACGAGGAAGAGGAAGACGAGGAGGAAGAGGAGACGGAGTTGCCTTCGGAGACCCGCTTCCTCTTGCGCTTGGGAATGCTGCTGTCTTTGGCTGGTGGGGGAAAAGGCGGTTGACACTGGATGCGGGGCCGTTCTGTCTCGGCCCCCCGACCTCCCTGGAGAAGGCCTCTGTCTTTGGGGTTCAAGTCCCCTTCTCAGCATTCGAAGCTCCTGACCCCTGGGTGGCCAGGGCGCACCTGTCCCAGCACCCTGCTCCCACTCACCTGCCTGCCTTTGCTGACACTGTGTCCTCATCCCCAGGTCCTCTTATAGTGTCCCCAGACCACCCAGCCTGGGGGCCCAGCCTCCCCAGGCCTCCCCGGACCCAGCATCCCCTTGAAGCCTTAGACAATGTAGGGGAAAAACTCGGCCTCCAGAGCCAAGCGGACTCTTAAGTCCCCCAGTGGCCCTGATCCGTGAAACGTAAGATCTTGCCGGATTGCTGGGAGGATCCCACGAGACACGTGCCGGGCACTCAGCACAGCGCCTGGCCCCGGGCGAGTGCTTGCAAACTCAGAACTGGTATTAATGTGGTTGCTGTGGTTACCGCTGGTGTGTGATGGCCCTGAGCTGACAGTTCACAGGTTCGACAAGTGGACAAGCTGTGCCCCAGTGGTAGGAAACTCCACTTTAGAATCAGGAGTCCAAGTTCAAATTCCAATGTGGCCACTTAACTAGCTGTGCGACCCTGGGAAAATTTATTAACCACTTTGAGCCAAATGAGAAGAACAGGGTGACATGGGACACAAAGGAGATATGCATGGAAGAGCCAGTACCAAGCCCAGCTTGGAGCAGGGCTTGGCAGGTGTTTTGCTGCTGCCGGATGAAATTGATGTGAAAGTGTAAGACTTTTAACAAAGACCTGCAACTGTGTGCTACCTAAGCACCTTTTGGGGCTTGATGGAGGGGACTGGTGACCATGTGGACAACTAACTCAGCCAACTAGAAGGTCCTAGTGACACAGTAAGGGCAGGCTGGGCCCACGGGGCCATCATCCATCCAGCTGATGCAGAAAACCCAGGGCCTAGGGGACCATGAGGTGGTGTGAGTAGAGAAGTATGGGAGCAGGGGGTCCCCAGGCTGAGCCAGAGAGGGATTTTTGTGGGAATTGCCACATGAAAAGGAAGTCACAGGTGCTGGCTGCCACCCCCTGCCCCAGGCTGGTCCATGGGCTATGGCCACCTTGGGGTCACCATGAGACCCTAAAGACAGATGGCCACGGTGGAGGGAGTTGTGGGGGGAGTGGTGGATGTAGGTGACAGCATCCATCCTCAGAGCATTGGTCCCTATCTCTCCTCCCTGAGTCCTCCATGGGGCCTTCAGTGTCTCTGCCTTTGCCCGGAGAGCAGTTCTAAAACCCAGTCACCTCCGGACTCCGCGTCCTTCTAGTGCCATGCCCGACCCTTGGGACCAGCTCTTGACAGGAGGAGATGGCCTGCAGTTGGGCTGTGGAGTTCCAGGTGGACCTGGACCCATCTGGAGTCAGGGCTCAGGTCTTAGGAGCCAGGGTGGGGCATGGCCTCTCTGAGTCCCCTCACGGTCCCCACGGAGCAGCCACACTGGGGCCCGTGGTTCGCAGTGGTCTGTGGTCCCGATGGCAGGCTCTAGGCAGCCTCGGACTCACTATGTGGCCCTGGCAAGTCCCTCCCCCTCTCTGGATCTCAGTGTCCCAGCAGTACAACGAGGGCAGGACTGGAGCAGTTTTGCTTAATCCAGTGCTCATCACAATCGCCCCGGGCTACGTTCTCCCAAGTCCTGTCACACGCTGGCTCCACCAGAACCGGCATGCCAGCAGCCTCCCGGGTGTTGCAAGAGCCTCTGTGTGCCCTGCAGATGCAGGCAGAGCAGGGGCCCAGCCAGGCCCGGGCAGCACCTGCCTGCCTCACCCCTGTCGGTCACGTGCCACCCCTCCCCTACCCAGGCAGCCTCTGGGATCCAGCCTGCCCCTGTCCTCTCTAGCTGACTTGACACACCATGTCGCGCAGGCTTCTTGGGGTCTGCGGGGGCTCTTGGCCCGGGGGAAAAAGGTGTGTGGGGTGAGGACAGAGTATGCTTTTCTCAAGGTAGTCGGCTATCTACGGCGTGCCCACCTAGACCCCATCTGTCTCTGCCTTCTTGAAGGCAACAGACCCTGGTCCCTAAGAGGCAGAAGGGTGGCTTCTTCAGCCTCTGACTCACCTGGCACCTTGGCATCATTGCAGATTTCTGCAAAAGGTCTGAAAAGGAAGAAAGGAGGTGGCAGTCAGAAAAGGAGGTTTTCTCTCCTTCTCACTTGCTTCCTGAATATGGGCAACACTTCCCATGAGAGACGAGCAGGTAAGATGCTGCCGCTGTTGCTGGAGCCAGGTAGGGCCCAAATGAAAACCAGAGCATCCCTGCCTACCCCCCAGGATAGGTGTACAATGGGCCCGGCCAGGCAAATCACCTGTAATCAAAAGCATGTGCCTAGATTTATGCAAGTGGATATTCATCACAGCGTTATTTTAAAAATATCTTTTAATTTTAATTGTATTACTTACTTGCAGCACTATTTATATGAACAACAAAAAAAGAGAGAAGTGACTTAAATTTCCATCAGCAGAGGATGTTATGATCCATTTACATTACCGACAATTGGCCAGTCATTAAAGGGAATTAACACAGCCATAGGTGGTACTCAAGTGCCTACAAGGTCAAGATCAAGGTCATGATGGCCAGACAGGAAACAGCAACTTTTATTTACTGCCTACTGATAAGTACTGTGTGATGTCAGTTTCATTCCCCCCAAAAGGATATCTAATAGGTATACAAAGAAAAGTAGAAGGAAAACTCCAGAATATCTTCGGTGGGCGTCTCTGGGAGGTATGGTTATGGGGGTGGGTGCATTTTCTCCTTATAGTTTCTTGCATTTTCCAGGACACTCTTCAGGGGGTAAGCTATCCTTGAGATGGAAGGAAACCTCTATTTTTTTATTTGATTCTGTATAACTTGCCTTTTGTGGACACGTGCAAATATTATTTTAATTTTAAAGCACGTTACTATAAAATTAAAACATGTAATATAAAATTGGAAAGGAAATACATGTAGGGAAAAAAGAACAACAGAAATGCACCACAGTGTTGATTCCGAGTAGGAGACTCACGGATCATCTTTTACCTTTTTGTATTTCCCAAGTTTGCTGTGTGTATTGTTTTTAAATCTGAAAATAAACAAACTATTTATTTGTTGTTTTGCGAAAGGGCGTTACTCTGTTGGCCAGGCTGGAGTGCAGCGGCACATTCACAGCTCACTGCAACCTTGAACTCCTGGGCTCAAGTGACCCTCCTGCCTCAGTCTCTCACGTGGCTGGGGCTACAGGCGTGCCACCACGCCCAGCTAATTTTTTGTAGAGACAGGGTCTCGCTATGTTGCCCAGGTTAGTCCTGGCCTCAAGCAACCCTCCGCCTGGGCCCCTCAAAGTGCTGGGATTACAGGTGTGAGCCACCGTGCCCGGCCTATTGTATTTCTTAAAAAAGACTGTGAAGATGTCTGGTAAAATATGCATAGCGGTTATCTCTGGGTGTTGGGAGTATTGGATTACTGTTATTTTCTAAATATATTGAAATTAACGGTAAAGTCAAACTTAATTGAAACTTTAAAAATACGTAAATACCCATGACTGTCGAGGTGTGTTTCAGAAGCGAGTTGGAATGAGGACACCTGGGTCTGGATCCCAGCTGACCCACCGTGACCCCAACTCTTACCCCCCTTTCCTTGCTGTGAGTGTCAATTTTCTCACCCCGGACCTGTCTGGTGCAAGCCAGAGCGCCCTCCCTCCATCTCCCCTCCTTCTCAGATCCTGGGCTGGGCCCGCTTTGCCGGGTCCCCTCCCAGCTCCAGCTTCCCCTGGCCCCGCCCCTGTCCCTGCCGGGTGCTGGGCACTCACTGGAGCTGGTTGATGATGACCATGCGGACATGCTCCCGGGCCTTCAGGATCTTCTCCAGCCGGTGGATGTCATACGTGTTGGGGTTCCGGAAAGGGATGTCGTCGGGCAGGCCCGTGACCTCAACAGCGTCTGGGCTGTCCCGGATCAGCTTGTAAGGGACCAGCACAGGCCGGTTCAGGCCCAGGGCCTCACCTAGAGGGCACAGGGGGTCGGAGTGAGGGCAGACGTCCCCTGTCCATGGCAAAGCCCGCTAGGGAAGGGGCTGGAATCTGGCGCCCCAGCTCAGCAGCTGCCACACCCAGACAGCTATCAATCGGCACACACACCCACCACGCATGCATCAGGGCCAGGGCTGCCATGTCCCCAGGGCGCAGCCAGGCCAGCTGGGGGCAACCGGAGGCCAGGTTGGCTGCGGAGGGAGGGGGCCACTCAGGAGGGGGCCCCGAGGCACTGACCGTATTTCTCATTGAAGAGCTCCTTCACCTGCTCCCGGAGGATCACCTTCTCCCCGAGTCTGTTGGCGTCATCTTCATCTACAAGAGGACAGGGGCATGAGTCGGCACTGGCTCAGCCTCCGAACCTGCTCCTTCTCCCAGTCGGCGTGGAGAGATAGCACGCTCCCCTGCAGCCGAGCTCTGGCCTGTTGTCTATCCATCCACCTGTCCATCCATCCCGCATAGCCTTAGCTGCACCCGGCACAGGCCCGCACCAGCAGGAGGCAGGGCCCTCCCCTGAGGGGCTCACAGGCCCAGAGGGGGTGTCCCTCGGTCACAGCTCGCACCCCTCCGAGTGCAATGGGACACACTTAGGAGGAGACAAGGGCAGGGGTCCGGGTGTCCACCCTGTCTAAGCAAGGTGGCAGGTCCCGAGGAGAGTAGCATGTGTCACGTGGCAGTCTGTGACGTGGGGTGGAGGTGGGAAGACACCTGGTGGAAGGACAGCTGTGCACAGGACTGAAGGGTGAAAGGTCTCGTGTGCTGGTTGTGGCTGAGCTTCCGGGTGGTACAGGGGAGGTGATGGTGACGGGCCCAGCGAGGCCTGGGAACAGGGCTGGCACATTGGGAACCACGCCGGCTGCGTGCAGGCCAAGGCCTGTGGCTGGGGAAGGGACTGCGCCTGGCAGCAGGGGTGGGGCCCGGGCAGCGGTCGTGCCAGCAGCGGCTGGTGCCCCGGTGAGCTCCTCCCTCCCCTCTCATGGCCCAGAGGAGCGGCCAGGGCCACGTAGCCCGGGCAGCAGGGCCCGGCTAGAGAAGGGTCCCGGCAGAGCCTGGAAGGAGCCCTCGGGCCTGTGCCAGGGTGGGAGGGGGCTGGGGTGTGGGGCACCCCCTCTCTGGGGAGCACGTGGCCACACTGCTGGGCCTCTGGGCGCGGTGGGGAAGAGCTGGTCCCAGGCAGGGTGATGGGGACAGAGCAGACAGAATGGGTCTTTGGAAGAAAACAACCTCTGTTTTAATCTTGAAAACCTCTGGCAGGACTCACTTCCGTTGAGAAGGCCGGTTCAGAACTGCCCGTCCCAGGCTGGGGCTCTGTGCTGCCCAGACCCCATGGCGGCCCAGCCTCCTGCACCCCGCCAAGGAGGAGCCCCAGCTCCCAGATCAGGGCTGTCCTGGGGCAGGCAGCTTCCCGCTCCCCATACCGACCTGAGCCTGCCCCCGGCGCCCCTTCACCCGCCACCCCGGCCTCCCAATCCCTGAAGGGCCCCGTCTGGCCGGTCACGCCCCGCACTCCTGCGTCTGGAATCTGGAGTTGCTGCGCCCCCCTCCAACCAAGGCCGACCACCCCCAGGCGCCCGAGAGATGCCACATCCCACAGCATCCCCCTCCAGGGTCCCCGTCTTGGGGACAGACGCCCCTCCCTACTCAGCCGCACCAGGGCCCCAAGCTCAGCACCTCAAGGACCCTCCTCATTCCCCGAGTCCTAACACGGCCCTTCCAGGTGGGCTTCAGGACCCCAGAGGTGGCAACAACAGACTCGACCCCACCCCAGGTCCCGCACAGGAAACCATGAGGGGTCCTGGGCCCCAGGGCCAGCTCCTGGAGCCTGCGGGGAGGCAGCGGGCATTTCCCGTCTGTCCCCATGCCACCGAGGATTCCTCTGGGGGCAGGATCCTGAGCGGCATGGCAGCACACACATGGCCTGGACGGCACACCGCTGTGTAGACCGACACTGTGCTGGCAGCTTCCCAGACATGACCATGGCTGCCCCACCGCGGCCAAGGACTCGGAGGCTCAGAGAGGTCAGAAATGTGCCCAACGTCACACAGCCGCTGAGCGCCAGGAATACCCTGACTCCAAAACCCTGGCCTCTCCGCTCTACTATGTGCCCTGGGTTTCCTGAGGCCTCAGTTTTCCCATCTGTGGAAAGGGTGGGGCTGATGTTCAAGGTGTTTTCCTTTGATCCCAAACTTCTGTCCTCTCCTCCTCCTGTGCCGGGCGCAGGGCAGGACTCGTGGGCAGTGCCTGACAAGGCCTGCTGGCCTGCAGGAGGTGGCAGGCCCCCAGAGACCCAGCCCGGTAAGCTGAGGGCACCGTGGCTGTTGGAGGTGGCGCCGACAGTGTGGCTGTCTCCGTGCACACTGTGTCCGCAGAGCACACCCACCTGCCTCTCCCCTCGCCGGCTCCCGCGGCCTGCGGGCGGTGTGGATGGACAGAGACCAAGGCAGGGCAGACCTGGGCCCCACGCTGTCCTCCGCCGTGGAGAGGCACAGAACTTAGAAATCTGGGCTTGTGTTGCTCCCTGGATAAGTATTTCTCGAGCCCTTCTAGACGCTGTGCTGCCCCTCAAAGAGCACAGAAGACAGCCCGTAACTGTCACGCACCCGGGACCTTGTAGCAGGGACCCCGCCCCAGCCGGGGTCAGGGACGGCCTCCGACAGCCGCGCGGGGCCCAAAGCCCCACGGGTGCAGCCTCCTCCTCAAGCCAGGGCTCATCCCCCGGCCCCCAAGGCAGTTGTGACAGGCACGCAAGACACACAGGCATCTGCCAGCACCCTACAGGTGCTCAACACACGCTTGCTTGCTCGCTGGTGAGGAAATGTCCCCCTCCTTCCAGGTCTCGCCTGGTGCAGGGCGGAGAGCGCCCCCACCCCAGGCCGCAGCTAACAGGGAGGAGTGGCGCTACGGGGCAGCGGGCAAGGCAGCATGGCAGCTCTGTCTGCGGCACACAGGCCCAGGCTGGGCCCAGGAGTGGGGGAGCTGTGCCTGTCAGGACACTGGGGCCTGGGCTGCCTGAGGGGGCTGGCAGCAGCACGGGACACCTCTGGGGCGTGGCAGGCGGAGTGGTGCCTTCGTCAGCAACACCGAGAGCAAACGTGGCACATGCCGTGTGCAACACCGTGCTGGGCCCGCACAGCCTTGCTCGCCGGGTCCTTCCAGCTCGCCTCAGGCCTCAGCAAGGAGGCCCAGGTTCCTCTGCCTCTGCTCTTGCTTCTGCCACCTCTGTTTTAATTTTGTTTAGAGGGACAACACTACATGTTTTTTTGTTTTGTTTTTTGAGACAGGGTCTCACTTTGTTGCCCAGGCTAGAGTGAGTGCTGTGGCATCAGCCTAGCTCACAGCAACCTCAATACTCGCTGGGCGTACAAGCAGATCTTGCTGCTCAGACCTCCGAGGTAGCTGGACTACAGGCATGTGCCACATGCCTGGCTAATTTTTTCTATATATATGTTAGTTGTCCAATTAATTTCTTTCTATTTTATAGTAGAGATGGGGTCTTGCTCTTGCTCAGGCTGGTTTTGAACTCCTGATCTTGAGCAATCTGCCCGCCTCAGCCTCCCAGAGTGTTAGGATTACAGGCGTGAGCCATCGCGCCCAGCCTCTGTTGCCCAGGCTAGAGTGAGTGCCATGGCGTCAGCCTAGCTCACAGCAACCTCAAACTCCTGGGCTCAAGCCATCCTCCTGCCTCAGCCTCCTGAGTAGCTAGGGCCGCAGGCACATGCCACCATGCTCGGCTAATTTTTTCTATATATTTTTAGTTGGCCAATTAATTTCTTTCTATTTATAGTAGAGACGGGGTCTCGTTCTTGCTCAGGCTGGTTTCGAACTCCTGACCTTGGGCGATCCACCCGCCTCAGCCTTCCAGAGTGCTAGGATTATAGGCATGAACCCTGTGCCCGGCCCATTGCATGTTTTTAAAGGCTGAGTTTTTGAAGCAAAGGGGGCAGGGGAGGCTCTGGCAGGGGCTGGAGCAGGGAGAGGACCTGCCCTTCTTGGGACTCAGAGAAACCAGGGGAGCTCCCTGGGTGGACTCCCGGGTGGGCAAAGGGGTGACCCACTCTCTGGGAGGGAAGCCGAGCCACAGGTGAGGAGCCCCCCCACCTGCCGTTTTCTGGAACCTGCCACTGGGTTTATGTCTGTGTCCCAGCCTTGCTCTGCTCATTCCTGTAGGGGAAGGGGCAACGTGTCAACCTGAACAGACACTTGTGCCGGGCTCCAAGGGGCAGGGGCCAGTGACCGAGGAAGCGTGTCCACCCCCTCAACCTGAGGGGAAGGCTGAGATCCTCATTAACCCAGATGGCCCGGCTGAGCAGGCCCCTTGGTGGGCAGCAGGCAGGTCACGAGACCCCTTCCCGACAGGACCAGGCTCCTGCCCGCACTGCCACCATCCGGATCGCGCCCGCCTCCAGGGACTTCCCCAAGGACTGCTGTGGACAGCGGCCGCCTTGGCTGGAACAGGGCCGCCCTGGCGAGCCCGGTCACCTCCAAGTCCAGTCCGCTCATGGGCGGCACAAGCATCAGGAAACCGCCCCAGAGAGCTGCTGAGAACACCGGAGGTGGCCACAGCCCCGTGGGCTTGCCAAGACGCTGACTACGCAGGTTCAAATCCTGGCTTTGCTATCAGCTTGCGACGTTGGGCAACCCTTTGTTCACTCAGCGATGACAACAGAGAAGTCTGCAGAGGACTGTGGTGAGGATGGAGTGAGCACATGGACGCCAGCGCCTGGCCCGATGGAAGGGTTAGTTATTGATGTTCCAATGCCGGGTCAGCAAACCTATTCTGGGGGGACCTCCCTGAGCCCGGGCTGGCTGTAAGGGACACGATGGCTACACACATGTCCGAATGTCTCCATTTGGGAGTGTCAGGACTCCACGTCAGGGGTGCCCTCGGTGCACCTGTCTGAATGCTTACATGCACTGTGCGGGAAGGCGGTGCCGGGGGCCAGTGCCGGGGGAGTCCCAATCTCGATTCTAACGCTAATGCTGTCTGGCGTTTGGAAAGCCGCTCAATCTCTCTGAGCCTCAGTTTCCACATCCCTCAAATGGAAGTCTTGGCCTGTTGGGAGAATCTAATATCACATACAAAACAGTACTATAAAAGGGGGTTTGTTTTACCCATGGTGGAGAGAACGTGCTCAGAAATGCGTCCAGTACCCTTTCTAATGAAGCACGCCAGGGTGGGAGGGGTCGCCCTCATGGTCTGACCTCGGTGCTGTCCAGAAAGCCCTGCTGGCCTGTCCCCACCACAGTGACCTGACCTGCTACCCACGGCGGCCCCTGGGCCGTGACACCCTGCAAGGACAGGCACTCCCCCACCT